TAAGTCACAAACCGGATACGTGTATATGTTGAATGGTGGAGCAGTAAGCTGGTGCAGCTGCAAGCAGAGCGTCGTGGCAGGATCTACGTGTGAAGCGGAGTACATGGCAGCCTCGGAGGCAGCGCATGAAGCGATTTGGGTGAAGGAGTTCATCACCGACCTAGGAGTCATACCCAATGCGTCGGGGCCGATCAAACTCTTCTGTGACAACACTGGAGCTATTGCCCTCGCCAAGGAGCCCAGGTTTCACAAGAAGACCAGGCACATCAAGCGTCGTTTCAACTCCATCTGTGAAAATGTTCAAGATGGAGACATAGAGATTTGCAAAGTGCACACGGATCTGAATGTCGCAGATCCGCTGACTAAACCTCTCTCGCGTGCAAAACATGATCAACACCAGAACTCTATGGGTGTTCGATTCATCACAATGTAACTAGATTGGTGACTCTAGTGCAAGTGGGAGACTGTTGGAAATATGCCCTAGAGGCAATAATAAAAGTATTATTATATTTCATTGTTCATGATAATTGTCTTTTATTCATGCTATAACAGTATTATCCGGAAATCGTAATACACGTGTGAATACTTAGACCACAATATGTCCCTGGTAAGCCTCTAGTTGACCAGCTCGTTGTGATCAACAGATAGTCATGGTTTCCTGACTATGGACATTGGATGTCGTTGATAACGGGATCACATCATTAGGAGAATGATGTGATGGACAAGACCCAATCCTAAGCATAGCATAAAGATCGTGTAGTTCGTTTTGCTAGAGCTTTGCCAATGTCGAATATCTCTTCCTTAGACCATGAGATCGTGTAACTCCCGGATACCGTAGGAGTGCCTTGGGTGTATCAAACGTCACAACGTAACTGGGTGACTATAAAGGTGCATTACAGGTATCTCCGAAAGTAGCTGTTGGGTTGACACGGATCAAGACTGGGATTTGTCACTCCGTATGACGGAGAGGTATCTCTGGGCCCACTCGGTAATGCATCATCGTATTGAGCTCAATGTGACCAAGGTGTTGGACACGGGATCATGCATTATGGTACGAGTAAAGTGACTTGCCAGTAACGAGACTGAACAAGGTATTGGGATACCGACGATCGAGTCTCGGGCAAGTAACGTACCGATTGACAAAGGGAATTGCATGCAGGGTTTGATCGAATCCTCGACATCGTGGTTCATCCGATGACAACATCGAGGAGCATGTGGGAGCCATCATGGGTATCCAGATCCCGCTGATGGTTATTGACTGAGAGCGTCTCGGTCATGTCTGCATGTCTCCCGAACCCGTAGGGTCTACACACTTAAGGTTCGGTGACGCTAGGGTTATGAAGATATGTATATGCAGAAACCCGAATGTTGTTCGGAGTCCCGGATGAGATCCCGGACGTCACAAGGAGTTCCGGAATGGTCCGGAGGTAAAGAATTATATATAGGAACTGCTATTTCGGGCATTGGGACAAGTTTCGGGGTTATCGGTATTGTACCGGGACCACCGGAAGGGTCCCGGGGGTCCACCGGGTGGGGCCACCTGTCCCGGGGGGCCACATGGGCTGTAGGGGGTGCGCCTTGGCCTTCATGGGCCAAGGGCACCAGCCCCTATAGGCCCATGCGCCTAGGGTTTCCTCCTAGGAGGAGTCCTAGTGGTGGAAGGCACCCCTAGGTGCCTTGGGGGGGAGGGAAACCTCCCCTAGGCCGCCGCCCCCCCTAGTAGATCTCATCTACTAGGGCCGGCGCCCCCCTGGCACCCCTATATATAGTGGGGGAGAGGAGGGACTTCATACACCAGCCCCTGGCGCCTCCATCTCCCCCCGTTACGTCTCTCCCTCGTAGTCTCGGCGAAGCCCTGCTGCTGTGACGCCCTGCATCCACCACCACGCCGTCGTGCTGCTGGATCTTCATCAACCTCTCCTTCCCCCTTGCTGGATCAAGAAGGAGGAGACGTCTCCCGTCCCGTACGTGTGTTGAACGCGGAGGTGCCGTCCGTTCGGCGCTGGTCATCGGTGATTTGAATCACGTCGAGTACGACTACATCATCACCTTGCAAGCTTCCGCACGCGATCTACAAGTGGTATGTAGATGCAAACTCTCTCCCTTGACTCGTTGCTTAGATGAACTCATAGATGGATCTTGGTGAAACCGTAGGAAAAATTTTAATTTTCTGCAACGTTCCCCAACACCATATTCAGCCCAAATATGGGGTGGAAATGGGGGCGCCCGGGCACGCCCGCCACGTCGGACCCGACAGCCCGACCCCATGCCAAATTGCACCATATCCACCCGAAGACCAGCCGGATCCATTTGCTATCTCCTATCTTTTTCCTCCTCCGCGCTGTCCTTCTCGCGCTCCACCGCCGCGCCCACTTCGCAGCCGTTACGAGGCTCTCCGCCGCAAGCTCCGGAAGAACACTCCCGTCGTCGCCGTGGGGGACGTCTTTGCCGGCCCGGACGCCACCGTGGTACGTCCGGCAACTTTCCGCCTCTGCCTTGCGCAGTTGCGCTTGATGTGTTCGACACATTGACCGACCGGAAATATTGTGATTTTGTTAGGTAAATGATGGATTCCGATGCTGCGTCGGACGAGGAGTATGGACCGACGGAGCTTGACCAATTGATTCAAGATGAGTTTTTCGATTCGTCGGATTCAGACGAAGAAGTGGATATGGTCATGCTCGTGAGCATGCAAGAGGAAATGGACCGGCAAGTGGAGCATATTCTCAACTTCAAGGGATCAATCAAAGGGAGAAGAGTGATCAACCGGAACAGGGTATCCGGAGCAAAGCTACTGCTCAGTGACTACTTTGCTCCCACACCTACTTTCCTGAAAGATCCATGGTTTCGTCGTTGTTTTTACATGTGAAAACCATGTTCTACAACTCGACCTTGAGCTTCACTCAGTATGAGCTCGCTCGAATTTTAATATGAGTTAACCTGAGCCAAGGCCAAATTGCTCGAACTAGACTCATTTGCAGCCCTACTTGCTGGTACGCGAGAGAGTGACTCGAGGTGCGGGCGTGGCGCGGTGGGTCGGGTGTGAGTGTGGCTTAACCATGTCGGTCGGTTGCGGTGCGGACCAGGTCGGGTGCGACCGTTTCTGTTTGCTGCCATGCAAAAAAGAACACAAAAATAGAGACCAACCTGAACCACTGACGTGGTATTAACAGTCTGAAGAGATACGGGAAAATTAAAATTAAAATAGGAAAATTGTGAGGATGGATTCCTCCAGATATATTCTTAGTGAAAATCCTTTAAACCGAATAAGGCCGTACTTATCGTCAGATATCTCTTTGTGTGAACACGACAGATAGCTCAAACACACAAGGTGTTTATGCAACCCATGTCATTATTGGAATATTAGATTAACAGAGTGAGCGACAGGTGTTACGTGGAGCAAAACAGGGGGTTGAGCTGGACGGTACATGCGAGATATATTGTAGGATGAACATTTATTCCTCATATTATGCTAAGCTAATTCCCGCAAAAGAAATACTCCCTCCGTTTCTAAATATTTGTCTTTCTAGACATTCAAATGGACTACAATATACGGATGTATGTAGACATATTTTAGAATGTAGATTCACTCATTTTACTTCGTATGTAGTCACTTGTTAAAATCTCTAGAAAGACAAATGTTTAGGAACGGAGGGAGTATTATGCTGAGCTAGCAGTCTACACAACATCAACTTTCGCGGTAGCAAGGACTCTGAATTGACTAACAAGTGGGATGAAAAGTTGCAGAAATTAGTTTAACTTCTTGCACGGTTAAAAACGAGCAATGACTCAATTCGTCTCTGTCTCTTTGTTTGCAGCAAAAGTTCTTGGGAGCTGTCCTACTGATGTTAGTGAAGCGATAATGTCAGGCACCTGCTTCAAACCATCTGCTTGTGAGTAAACAGAAATCATCATCTGCTCCGAGGAATCACATGGTTGAAGCAGCATTCTAGAGGAAACTGGAGCAACGTTTCCTACAATCTGAATGAGCAATCTATCAAAATTCGTCTTGAACACCGATTCCTCAGATTTCCTCTGAAAATCCTTTGAACCAAATAAGGCATTACTTATCGGCAGATATCGCTTTGTTTGAACACGAAAGATAGCTCAAACACATAACGTGTTATCTAACCCATGTCACTATTTGAATATTAGATTAAAAAGAGTGACGGGCAGGTGTTACATGGAGCAGAACAGGCGGTTGAATTGGACGCTGCAGGCAAGCTCAAGGGGATTCAGAGTGCCAAAGCTACAACTACTACTCGAACTTGCTCTTAGTGAGCGACAGGTGTTACCTGGAGCAGAGCAGGCGGTTGAATTGGAAGCGCAGGCGAGGTCAGAGGGATTCAGAAGTGTGCCATGATGTTTTTTGAGGCTATTGGATGAGATTTGGACATTAGCTCCTTTAGCTCCTGTTCCTTTCCATAGATAATTGTTATAAATAGTCAGTTATGCATCTTAACCAGTGCGGCGATTCGGATGCACCTGGACGTGAACAATAAATTCAAATAAAACAGTAAAACAATTCTGAAAAATCTAGTTATTTTTCGCATGGAAGATGCCCGAACCAATGCGCGATGTGCGCGTAAAAGTCCATGGTGTTTGGACATTCGAGAAGATCGTTGTAAAAAACGAAATCTGGTTGTGAAAAAAACATTGAAAGAGAACATTGTTGGGACCTGATTTTATTTGTTTACCTACAGCTCCTCGAATGGTCAAACACCACCAAAAATTTTGTGCTCCTTGCACACCTGAGCATCTTTGATGCTACTACTTTTAGATTTTTTTGCTACTTATTTTGAATTCTTCATTGGGTGCAGATGAGCCAGGGCTTCGATGCAAATTACTATATCTTCTTAACATATTGGTTACTCCAAAATCCAAACGATTGGTATCTTGTTTGGCGTACACATGAACTTTGAGATGCATTATGTTTGCATGTGGAAAGAAACTTCGAGTAGCGGAGGCAACCAACATACACGACATCCTACTTAATTAATTCATAAAAAATAGTCCAGGGTTTTATCATTTTTCTCCTCAACACTCATTGCGCCACCGGATGTACGAGCCCTTTTATTCTTGGACAGGGAGGCATCGGCACTATTGTTCGACATGAATACATCGGTGAGGACGGTGCTGGACTGTAGGGAAGCCATCAGAATATCCAATCCCTGCAAGGAAATTAGTTGAGCAGATAGATATATATTAACAAAAAGAAATTGAGCATCGACGTCACGCACCTCTTGTTGACCGATCTTGACCGACTTCTCCTCGAGTATGAGCCCCTTCTCTTCTCCGTTGAGTTTGCTGAGCAGCGCCATGACAGAGACGTTTGACATGGGTGTGCTGGTGAGGTCGTCCATGACAGTGTACGTCACCAAGCCCTGCACGAACCCGCCGGCCACGACGGAGCCGCAGCTATGGCAGCCGCGTGGAACTGTCATCGCGAACGCAGGCGGAGAGACAGCCGGGTATTGGGGTCGATACGATACCGATGGCAGCGCCATGCTCCGTGGCACGGACGTCGAGGGTGCCGGGGGAGCCGTGGTCGCCGGCGAAGGGAGGCCTCGGATGGCAGGGCACTGCAGGAGCGTGTACCGGTGCGAGTTGAGGAGCGCGTTCCGCACGGCGCTGCTCTGCATGTACACGGGATTCATCCCTTCGGCGCTGGCGTAGATATTGGCGGCGCCGGCACCATCGCCGGCGGCCCTAAGCAGCTTGGCGACGGTGCCGACTGGCGTCGCGAGGATGCCGAAGAGGAAGTCGACGGCGTCCTTGCCGGCCTCCGCGTACAGCACGCGCTTGGCCTTCGCGTCGATAAGCAGCTTGATGGTGGGTGCGGGCGAGGCCGCGGCGGCGGCATGGTCAGGGGAAGGGGCGACGGCGGAAGACATGCTTGAACTAGTGACTAGGTTACGTTCGCAGGCTCGATCTCTCCGCAGGGCGGTATCACTATGTGATTCGCGTGCGTGCGTGCGTTGGGAAGAACAGAAGAGGTAAGGCAAGAAAAGGTAAGAAACACAGAAAAATTTCTAGGTTACATAATGTCTAGAAACACGCATGAGAAATAGTTGGAGAGGGAGGTTAATTATCCCAATCCGGTCAATCATTAAATCTCCCCCACCCCACCCCCAACACCACCCGCACCCCCAACCCCTCTCCCCCTCCCCCCTCTCCTACTTTTTTTTTTGAGATAATTAACCTCCCTCTCCAACTACTTGGGGAAGATTTGTGTGAGATCTCACATTGCGTGTGAACTATAAAATCGATTTTTTTTTAAAAAATTACATGCTCAAACGTTCTCAATTTTTTTAGACACATGTCAATATTTGATGCGCAACCTCAAAAGGTCCAAGCTTCTAATTCAACTTACATTAATAGAAACCAAAAAGACAAAATCAAATGTGAATAGTGTCAAAGTACTATTCACCCATAACTGATACTATTCACATTCGAATTTGACTTTTTTTAATCTCTAAATGTACATCGAATTTTGAGCTGATTTTTTTGGAGCTGTAGACATATCTCACATGAATGTTGTCAAATAATTTCAATTTTTTTCGAAATGTCTAAATATGATAATTTTGGTGTCTGATCTCATGATCTCACCTAAGAGTGAGATCTCGTACAACCTAACAAGTCTTTGTTTTCTATCGAACTACTCAAGGAAGAGAACAACTCGTTAGCGAGCGCTCCTTCGAGAGCCTCGTAGCGCTCTCAGCTGCCGCCACGTGCCGCGCTCTGGGCGCTACCTCCGAATTTTGCTTTTTTTATTTTTTCGCGCGCGTTTTCGGTTTTTTAAACGGACTTTTCCTAGTTTTTTTTGACTTTTTTGTTTTTTCACCGGTCTTCCTTAGCTTTTGGACCAAAAACATTTTTGCGCGAAAAAACACATTTTTCTTGCTTCCGCGAGGGGCACAACCATGCCTCTCGAAAATGAAAAAAAGGTGTTTCTGTTTTTTCCTTCCACGAGAGGCACGGTTTTGCTTCCGCAAAAGGCACGGCTCGGAAATGAAAAAGAAAAGGCATAGTTGTGCTTTTCGCGAGAGGCACGGCCGTGCCTCTTTCAGAAAGGAAAAAAAACCTGCTCTCGGTTTGTTTTTTTCATCCGGTTTTTCTCGTCTGGTTTTTTCGTGAAAAAAGTGCGTCAAAACCTATCAACATAGTATATAGTTTTGAGGATATCGGCGCGAGGAATCCAATGATGAAAACGGTTCATGATTTCAACGCACGGTTTAAGAGATAAAACATTTTGACTATACAGATCTATGGAAAAAGGAAACCTTACAGGTTGCGACAAGTGGCGCACATGTAGCACGCCACTTGTCACAATCTGGAAAGGTGGGGTGGATCTTTGTAAGGAGCACTCCTCAATTAATGATTTCGCTTAGGAACTCAAGCACGTCTCACCTCGAAGAGGTTCTAAATGGGCCAGCCCATAATCCTGCAGATATACATACATCAGTTTTTTTCTATTTTTTAATTTTTTTTGTTTATATTTTCAAATCTATACCTTTTTTTATAATAATACTAAAAGAAGGGAGATTTCTTGGTTTTCCATATGTCATCCCTATATCCGTAGATTTCTTGGTTCTTCTTTCGCCGCCCCTTTATGTCCATTGATTCTGATGGCTGAGATTTAAACGTAGGTCTACACACTACGCACCAGGTAAGTTTATGTCTCTCATCCTGTTCTGTTATACGACTCAAATTCCTATAATGTGAACGGTGCAAACACGTATATTTCTCTCAGTGTGTTCTCTTGATAGGTATAAACTACACGGAGCATCCACAATCGATCCACACGCGCGCGCCGGCACCGATCGGAGGCTATTGCAGGGCCATTGCAAATGGAAGTGACACACCATGGAGGTCGTAATCCACGTGGGCGAGCATGGCAGCGTCCACGCGCGAACTGGGGGGTTATCATCAATTGCCCCTGGAGTAGATGGAGGCCGATGCTAGCTATGGAGACGAAAAGTGATGCACCGGTGATTGTGCACTTGATACCTACGCCGGGCTACAGAGGATGGTACATGGTGTGTGCGCTGCCATGCTCGCCCACGTGGATTACGACCTCCATGGTGTGTCACTTCCATTTGCAATGGCCCTGCAATAGCTACTCCAACCTCCTGTCGTACAGATGAATCGGTGGTTGGCTGCTTCTAGGTCCAAGCATCACCTTCATCACCCCCGCCGCGTCATCTAAATCCAGCTCGGCCCGAACGCGAGAGAGGTACTAGGCCTAGCGAGCTCGCTATCCGGGATTATCCTACTGTGCCTCGTCCATCGCCCGAAGAATTATCTCCATTCGAATCGCCCCCTCCTCAGCAGTGGCGGAGCCACCGCCCAGCGACCCTGGGCACTTGCCCGGGCTCGCTGGGTCTTGACAACAGCGATCGCTAGACTAAAAGGGGTAAAACTGTTGGCTAACTTGCTGTTTACCCGGGCAAAAATATTGGGCCTTCGTTTTACAGAGACTCACAGCTCAACTACGCAGCTGCAGCCCAGGGCGAAAAAAAAAGAAACAACGCGAGGACGAGGGAATCAATAGCTCCAACTCCTTCCTGTCTCTTCGGTTCGCGAGCGCATCGACTTGGCAAAAAAAGGGGCTGGCAGTGGCGGCTGGCCTCGACGCTGAGCCATAGACGGCTAGACGCACGGCCGGCGGGGAGCGGACTCGAGGCTCCGGCAGTCTACTGATCCGGTCGTCCAATCGGCCCCTCCTTCCTCTCTTCCGGCTTCGGCTACAGCTTCGGTAAGAAATCTCTGTCGAAATTAGGGCTAGGATTCCTCATCTCTGCAAGTCTGAACTCTGAATAATTGATCGTGGCAAGGCGTTGATCATTTGATGCGAGGTACTATTCGAGGTACATACACACTGACCCCACTAATTATATATATGCAGCGTATGCTACAAGAATTCAAGGTCGGGGTCGGGGGTTAGGGCTTAAATTTGGGAGAAAATCATTGGGGTGATCATGAATTCATGATTAGAGAAAAAACGTAAGAACTTGTTTATTTTTTGAGATTCAACTTGTAGTTGTAGTTGATGCAAGTGTAGTTGATACAAAATTGATGCACGTAGTTCTGTACTACGCAAAATATAGATGCAAGTAGTTATGTACTATGCAAAATTGTAGCTCATTTTCTTACTTGTGTTGTGTAGCAACTAACTTCATTTTCTTATTTGATATTTCCATTGGTATACAAACGTATTGAGTTGGGATTGATATTTCCGGTGCCCACTGCATCTGTTGAGAGAGCTTTTTAAGCAATGAAGATTATCAAGAATAAGGTGCGTACCGCGGTCAATAATGAATGGCTCAATGACATGATGATATGTTACACCAAGCGGGAGTTATTCAAGTCAGTTGATGATAAGGATGTTATTCGAACATTTACTGCAATGATGACTCAAAAAGGGCATTTGCCTTGTGATTTTGTTTAGTTCACCGTCGGTATATATGTTCCATCTGACCATCTCTATTACTGCAAGTTTTCTATTTTAACATATCCACATCTCACAACTTGATTTCTTTCAATTACAAATCCATTATTTATCTTGTAGTGTCTTCTAGGACTTTGGCAACATGGCAAGTTTGCCTCTATGAAAGACTGGTTATATGTCTTTCTTTTGGCAGAAATGAACAACGAGAGATGCTTTTGACCGTGGTGAAAGAAATTTCGCAATGACATTCAGTGACATCTGGTATGGGTAGATTTACTTTTGTTGGTAACATGGGAGTTTGCCTCTATACAAGTCTAGTTATATATCTTGTGCTGTCAAGTCTCAACTTTATTTGGTCTGTGAAAGGGATATTGATATATTATATATAGTTCACTTTAAAATTAGATTTTGTGTGATTATTATGTGTATGTTTTCACTTGATTATGAATGTGAATTATCATTCATAAGTTTGGTGCTATATTATATGTTGTGTATTCGAATACCCGGATTTTGATTTCTAGATTATACACTTATGCTCAACTTGCCCAGGCTCCACAAAAGTCCTGGCTCCGCCACTGCTCCTCAGGAATAATTTGTTGCAGCTCCGCCTTCGAAGCATCTAAGGTTGTCAGAATCGTCATTTTGAATAGGATCGGAGCTCCGATGATAGGATCGCAAATCATAGAATCTTCACTATCAGGATCGTAGAAACGTATATTCTGTAAACCAAAATCGTAGAATCACTGGGGTTAGTTTGGATCATAAATTTGTAAAAACGTACAACAGAATTGTGATTATGACAACCTTGGTTGCATCCAATGTCACGCCCACCGCCGCCTTGATTAAATACTTCATGCTCGGAAACCAGGATCAGATATCCTTGCACTTCGCCAAATTGACTACATCGCCTCTCGCAAACTCCAACACTGCTCGCTTCCATCCATGTTTGCAACTGTGTGATGGATGCAAGAGTGATGAATGCGAGAGGGTTGAGCAGAGTGGTGATTGCCAGTGGTCATTTGACCGAAACATGGTGCTTCCTGGCTCCTTCCTCTTTGCCTAGCGGCAAAGCACTCTTTGGCCTTAAGATTCACACGTTTCACATCCAAACTTCGCTCGTTGTTGTGTGTTCTATGTGATTGGAACCGGTTCAATGCAATTTGTGTGATTGAAACTGGATCCAGTGAAACCGACTGAAACTAAATCAATTGAAACTGACCGAATTCAGTGAAACTGAGTGGTGTCTGCCAGTGACTGAAACTGAATTTTGGTTAATTCAGAGAAAAACACAAGGTTAATTTAGGAAAAAAATTATATTGAAATTTGTGTATACAACATTTGAATATAAAAGTCATGCCCATGTACAAAAATGCAGTCTCTGTTGTCAAAAATTAAGTTTGAAATTTTAAAAAAATCCAGTATACACTAAATTGACATTGCAAT